TTTTTGATTTTTTTGCTTTAATTTGTCAATTATTTCATTTTTCAATTTCTCGACTTCCAAATTTTTCAATCTTTCGTTTCTTCAATTTTTCGATACTTACAAATTTTTATTTTTCGATTTTTCTGTTTCTCAGTTTTTATTTTTCCGTTTTTCAATTTTTCATTTCCTGATTTTTTTGATTTTTATTTTTCATATTCCCGACTCTTTAATTTTCATTGTTTTCGTTTTATAGGTGTCACAATTACTCGTTTTTTCTTTATTTTTTCAATGTTTCTTTCATAATTTTTCGTTTGTTCAACTTTTCAAATTTACAATTTTCGATTTTTAAATTTTTCAATTTTGCAATTTTTTGATTTCTGTTATCCGATTTTCCGATTTCAGTAATTTTCAATATAAATAGAAATCTTTTGTTTTTTCTATTTTGTAGTTTTAATCTTTCAATTTTTTTTAAGTTACTAGTTTCCAAATTTTAGATTTTTCAAAGTTTTCATTTTTTCATTTTTCGTTTTTGATTTTAGAATTTTGCAATTTTCCCATTTTTTATTAGAAGAGTTGGATAATGGAAAAACTGAAAAAGAGAAAAGTAAAAGCAAAATGAAAATTGTCAACTTTTGCCGTATTTAAAGGTGTTATTGAAGAAAAGTAGAGAATTTAAGATTTAGACATGTTTTGAATTTCTTGTTGTCGAAATAGGTCTACACATGTTAAGACCAAAAGACAAAAAGTAGCCCCACCCACCCACCCTATCTCAATTGTGATGATATTTTTTTATTCGTCGTGAGTCAGGAAGGCGGAGTTTAACTGCAAAATCCTTATTTCTCTACGAAAAATTAAAATCATGTTTGTATCGTGTTGTTCAAAGAACACTATCTATATTAAGAAAAAATAAAGTCAAAGATAAGGCCCCACCCATACCCGCTCCGATCTCAATTCTAGATTATGATGAATCTTTCATTCGTTGACAGATCGAGGGGCTGGGCTTAATTGCAAAATCCATATTTGTCTACAAGAATTTAACATGTTTAAGATCTTGTTCTGAACAGATGGCTACGTATATTTAGAAAACAAACAAAATATAAGCCCCGCCCACCCACCCTATCTCAATTGTGAATTTTAGATTTTTCAAAGTTTTCATTTTATAATGTTTCATTTTTTCATTTTTCGTTTTTGATTTTAGAATTTTGCAATTTCCCGATTTTTTATTTGAAAAGTTGCATAATGGAAACATTTATTTTAACATTACACACATAGCTTTATTTAACTTTATAAGGGTTATCATAAAAAATACAATTCGTAAAATCGAATCTTATAATTCTTCGAAAAATCTGGTTTTATTCACTTTCAACCAATTTTTTGATATAATAATTTGTCGTTTTTCCTTTTTCTTCGATTTTACAATGTTACAATTTTTCGTTTTTTCATTTTCCTTAATTTGTCAATTATTTAAATTTTCAATGTTTCGATTTTCATAATTTTTTGTCTTTGCAACTTTGATTTTTTCAATTTTTCTATTTCCCGATTTTATAGTTTTCATTTTCTTCATTTTATATCACAATTTTTCGTTTTTTTCATTTTCTTTATTTTTTCAATGCTTCTTTCATAATTTTTCGTTTATTCAACTTTTTAAATTTTCAATCTTCGATTTTTAAATTTTTCAATTTTGCAATTTTTGGATCTCTGTTATCCGATTTTCCGATTTCATTAATTTTCAATATATGTACTTAAATAGAAATCTCTTGTTTTTTCGATTTTGCAGTTTTTCGATTTGTAAATTTCTCAATTTTTAATCTTTCGATTTATCAATTTTTTGATTCTTCAGATTTTTAAGTTCTTAATTTCCAAATTTTAGATTTTTCAAAGTTGTCATTTTATAATTTTTCCATTTTTTGATTAAAAGAGTTGGATAATTGAAAAACTGAAAAAACGGAAAGTGGAAAATCGGAAAATTGAAAAACTGAAAATCTAGAAACATAAAAATCGAAAAAATTAATGAACCGAAAAATTAGAAACAAGAAAAAATGAATCGAATAAAAAAATATGGTATCTTATACCTATTAAGAAAAAATTAAAACCAAAGATTAAGCCCCACCTCCACCTGCCCTGATCTAAATAGTAATAAAGTTTTCATTCGTTGACAGACCCACGGGCGGAGCCTAATTGCAAAATCCACATTTCCTTACAAAAATTTACCATTTTAAACATGTTTTAGATTTCTAAGAATAAAAAGATCATCACAAGTGAGATGGGGTTGGTGGGCGGGGTTAATGTGCCGTTTTAACCATGTTGTGTGTCTTGTTATGAAAAGATGGCTTTGTATATTAATAAAAAAAGGAAAACTGTAGCCCCGCCCACCCGCTCTAGCTCAATTGTGACAATTTTTTTTATTGGTCGTGAGCCAAGAAGGCGGAACTTAACTGCAAAGTCTTTATTTCCCTACGAGAAATTAAAAACATGTTTTTGAGTATCGTCTTGTTCAATTCAAAGAATACAATGTACCTACATTAAGAAAAAAATAAAGCCAAAGATTAAGCCCCACCCATCCCCGCCCCGATGTCAATTCTCAATTGTGATGAATTTTTCATTCGTTGTCAGTTCGAGAGGCGGGGCTTAGTTGCAAGATCCATATTTGTCTACAAGAATTTACCACGTTAAACATGTTTTAAGTTTATTGTTCTGAAAAGACGACTATGTATATCAAGAAAAAGACAAAATATAAGCCCCGCCCACCCGCCCTATCTCAATTGTGATGATTTTTTTTAATCGTCGAGAGCCACAGGGGCGGAATTTAAATGCAAATTTCTTATTATTTCTATACAAGAAATTACCTAAGTTGTCAGACCTAGGGGCGAAGTATAGTTGCAAAATCCATATTTTCTTACAAAAATTCAGCATTTTAAGTGTGTTTTAAGTTTCTAGGGCGGGGGGTATATTTTGCCTGTTTTCTTAATATACGTAGCATTCTTTGAACAACACGATACTCAAAGACATGTTTTTAATTTTTTGTAAAGAAGTAAGTATTTTGCAGTTAAGCTCCGCCCTCTTGATTCACGGCGAATAAAAAAAATCGTCACAATTGAGATAGGGCGGGTGGGCGGGCATAGATTTTATCTTTTTGTTTTACTATGTGTAGACTTTTTTATACAACATGAAACTTAAACCATGTCTCCGCCCCATTATTGCTAGGACCATAATTTCTTTGCAAAAGTGTACCATTTTAACCATGTTCTAAGCTTCTTGTTGAGAAAAGATTGCTATATATATTAAAAAAAATAAGGCAAAATATATGCCCCGCCCACCCACCCTATCTCAATTCTGATGATTTTTTTATTCGTCGTAAGCCGGAGCTTAATTGTAAAATGCTTATTTTTCTACGAGAAATTACCATTTGAAAAATATTTTTAAGTAATGGTGTTATACAAAGAAAAGTAAATGTGTTATTTAAAAGAGAAGCCCCACCCATCCGTCTCAATCACAATCGTGGTGGATTTTCCATTCGTTGTCAGACCGAGGGGCGGAGCTTAATTGCAAAATCGATTTCCTACAACAATTTTCCAATTTAAACATGTTTTACGTTTCTTGTTGTGAAAAGGAGACTAATACACATATTAAGAAAAAAATATCTAAATATATCTCGTTGTCATATATATCGTCGTGAAAATAGATACATAAATGCAATTACCTTATAACTTCTGACGTAAGAAAACATTTAAATATATGATATATGATAAAAATTGGATTAAGTCATTACTGCATAACCAGCTTGCAGTCCAGATTTATATACAATACACTTTTTAATAAATATAATTCAAGATAAACGCAATGAATTAAAAAAATACAGTGCGTTTTTGAGAACTATTTAACAGAATTTTTTTATCTTTTTACTTTTAAGAAATTTTATTTAGCTGTCATTATTTTTATATTGAGCTTATATTTTTTAAATAAGAATTAGTCGAAAATTCGTCAAAATATTCTTACAGACATTTACAAAAAACACAAAATTAGTCTTTATATGTAGGTACTTCGTTAGAGTTAAAGACAAGTTTTTTCTAATTGTTACGAAATTATTTCATCGCCTTATTAACACAACACTGATGCAATGTCACTTTAATTATTTCATACTAATGTACTTATGTGACAATTTTTATAATAATTACCATGCATATTATTTCTACCACTCCTTCAACATGTGATCATTATACTAAAAAACATATTTTATTATTCAGTTAAGTATTTATTTTTTCAATTTTTTTTTTCAGTTTTTCAATTATTGATTTTTTTTCCAAATTCCAACCTATTTTCTGTGTCTGACCTGAAACATGATTTTCTGTTACTTTACTCTAGAATTCTGTATACGTAATACACTGTCATCTTTAATTCACCGATGTTTACCAAACAAGCTACACACCGCCGAACTCCCACCATCTAAAACTGCCCCCCTCAAACCCCCAACCAATTATCTAAAACACTAATTGCCTCCGTCACTCCGATCCCGTCCTCGATACCACCTCTAAAAATTTCATATCCAATTACTTTCCTAACTTCATTAAACCAACATCCTCCAGACCTTAATCCTCCCAATAAAGATCTTATCGCCTTTTGTCACATCGTCGATCTAAATGAAATTCCTAATTGCCCCCTCCCACCCCTGCCGGCGTCCGTCGGCGTCGCCCGAAAGAGAGCCCGGTAGGAAAAAGACGCAAGACCCCCACCCGCGCCAGCAGCCATGCTGTGACGTCACCCGCCGTCCGCCAATCGCGGCGCGGTCGTGGAGGGGCGCGCACGCACCGCGGGCCAGTCGCCAGTCGCCTCGTGTTCGGTGTAGAGGTTGGTGCGGTTCCACAGCCTACTCGATTCGCGTGCGAGTGTGTGAATTTAACGCCAACACGGAATTCATCACTGCAGTGCCAGGCCAATGTGCTGCGGGTGCGGTTCCCACGTCGGCTGGAGTCGCGTTCGGCGGCGGTGATTCCTCCGGGGGAGTGCTGGCGCCCGCCCCCGTGGTCGTCGCGGCGCCCCCGACGCCCGCCATGAATCAGCTGGGAACGGTCTACGCCACCAAGCGACGCCGACGGAACGGCAAAAGGTACAGGCGACGCTCTTGTGTGACGTGATGCGAGGAAGCCAAAATGTTATGAAAAAGGCGCAGGTTTATAGTTAGTGAGGAACTGATAAACATTTTCGGCTAAGCAAGGTGTTTCATGGCGATGACGGGATTAGAAAATAAAAATTTTACAGAATACGGAAATGTAGGGTTTCTTATTTGCCGTCGGTTGCTTGATCTGATTTCATAACGAAGTTTTGTTTAAACGCGGGAATCGACTGATAGGTATTTACCAAATATTAACAAATGTGTTTATTTGTCCATACGACAAAGACTTGTTTATATTTACTTTTTTTATTCCACATTTCGGGAGCGACGGTTCTGATTTCACACATTTCCGTCCCTGGGTTATTATATGCTTACTAATCTTTTTTTTTAACTTTCCGTAAAAAATAATTTAATATACAGGATGTCTCAACGGTTAATGGTGAAAGATGACTCACTTCCGACGATCATTAGTTGAATTGTTTTGATACAAAAACTTATTTAGATTTCAGCTGAAATTGTGTTTAGTTTTTTTAAATGGAAACAAATATTAAAAAAATATATATATAAACAAAAAATGTAAAAATTTCGTGTTTAAGAATTTGGCAAAGTTATGCAACTCATTTTACATACTTCGCTTCGTTGCTTCCAGTGAAAGTTTTCGTATGAACGCATTTATAGCGGGCCAAAAAAAATCGAAAGTTTTTGACTTTAAACACTTGCTGTAAAGTGGGTTGCCTATTTACAATTTATAGAGTCCACGTGGAACTGAGTTCAAAAATCGTTAATTATTCTGTTGCCCAGAAGTGGTAAAACTAATGACATCGTTAATATATCTCTACAGATGACACTTTTTTAATGTCAAATTTTAATATTTTAAATGATAGAGGTCCCCAAGATTCTTTCAAACTACTTCAAAAACAAGCCTCAAGGGGTCTTTGAGTATTTTCAAATTACTTCAGAAACAATACGGGATAATTCACTCAGCCGTCGCTGGAGATTTTTTCCTTTCTCGTGACAATTTAAAATAAAAAAAATAACATTATTAACTTTCTGATTTATTGTCAAATAACAAGAAAATGTTTGTATATCGTCCAGAAAATTAATTAAAGCGAAAATTGGATTTTAATTGAATCTACTGTTCGCTAGAGGGCGCCACGTCATCCTGAAAACAATTACAGGTTATGTATTATCATTATCCTATATTTTATTTAATTCTGATTATTGTAATGAATCAACGGTAAAAAACTAACTAAAATGGTTTCTTTGTACTAGTTGTACTAGTTTTTTCATTCTGTGTGAGTCACATCAGGTAATTAAATACACATTAGAAATTCCATTGACACATAATAACACACCTTTTCTGACTATCTTCCAAATTTTAACCTTCCACATAAAATAAAAATTTCAACATTGCTGTACTTTTTTGATCATTGTTCACAGCTACAACCTCTCCAAACGCAAATATAACATTGTTGGTCGCCTTTTCTCCATAATTCAGAGCGAACCCCACAAAAAGATCCTAATCACACACATGTTTTTGACCGCACGGTAATAACCCAGATGACAGTCTGATGAAACGTCCCACTTCCTTTTTGTACTTGCGTTTATTACCGATACATTAACCCAATTTTTCGAAGCCTGACATCAATCGGATGCACTTGGAATTATGCTTATGTATAAGTGGTGCATATCTTGACCGAGTGTGGAATGAGTGCACATAATTGAGAGTTAATTGGCACAAACACCATCTCGGAAGCATGTGAGCACGGCATAAATGTTGTTAAATCGTAATGCGATAGAAATTGCGTGATAGTGATGCGTGCTGTTATACTACCTGTAGGTAAAGAGCTATATCTATTTACCTTTACGTGTTGTGACGTAGCTGTTTAGGCACACGGCAATTTGTGCAGAGGCGTGTGTGGCTACCATTACGACCACTACAATCGCAGGACCTTCGTGTCCTTGTCGCCTGATAACAAGGATGCTCTGAAATACACACCACGAACTTTTGCTTGCTGTGATTCGAGGTTTATCGGGCGAACTGGACAGAACTTTCCTAGTACATACTAAAGTTTGTTTCTTCGTATAATACCTATTATATACACGGTCCTGTAATAAGTAATCACATTCTGTTTTGTTTTGTTGGTCATCAAAATAAACCTCCTACTCGTAGTTTAGCAGAAAAATATAATACTGCTCTTTATTGTCATACCAAGCAAGTTCTCAAATAAAAATGTGTTAATTTGAAACAGTATTATATTAGCATAATTAAAACTAAATTAAAATTAAAAACATAGATCGGTGTTGTCGTTGCCTAAAAATGGGGGCCACATATGCCCACTGTGAACGTGAACGTTTATTCCATTTTGACTCGCTTCGTTTCGCGCAGGTAATCGATTCCGCTATATTTTCATTTGTCTTAAAATTGCGCCGATTCTTAGAAACATTACAACAATATAATTTAATAACGTGATTACACAATATTTATGCTTCTATCGTCGGTTAGTAATAAAGAAATTTTGTTTTTTTTTTTATTGGTTATCTATAGAGAGCGGATTTCTAGGTTTAATGCTTTTTGTGAAAAATGTAAGCACTTCAAAACTTTTTTATTTCTGTAACTACGATACAATTTGGAGTCATTTGACACATTTTTTTTATGCTTGTTTAATGCTTTTTTCGACGAATATGAGTTTCAATTCATATTTTGTTCAAATGCCGGCCTTGTCGAGATGACAAATACTTGTTAGTTAGCCGTATCGTATCGTATGCATTTTACCTGGACTTAACCATTGAAGTACACTTACTGAAGACCCTTTCTGTGAATAGGTTCCGGTCGTTTGGGTAATAAAATTTTATTATAGGATTGGAAAAATACTCCATAGATTTTATGACTTTAAATCCTTACTTCCGTTGATAATGAATTAAAGCTTTTAACCAGATGTTGTTTTTCGGCATTTTGCGGCAAGACCATTGAAGGTTTTCTAGAAAAAAGGATTATTGTACCTAACTACCTACCTTAAAATTTTTCTAATGGAAACTTTTAAGTAAATGAACCGTTTATTTCACAACCATCAGTCTATCGCATCTGTCGTAGTACAGTGTTATACGTGGTTCTCCCTTGTTACATGTTGAGTTCTTTTTCGTAATATTACTAATATTTTAAAAGAATGCCGAAAGTAAAATCGACGCCGGATGAGTGGATAAGGGATTTTCCAGAATTAAAATTAGAAAACAACAAAATATTCTGCAGAGCTTGTGTGAAAACCGTAAGCCCACTAATTTTTTTTATCTATTTTCCTTTGTTAATCCCGTATATGTACGTTGTTCTAGATTCAAAGTGATAAAAAATATAACGTGACGCAACATGTCAGAACGACTCTTCATGTAGAAAGGAAGAAAATGTTTGAAGTTTCTAAAATTAAACAGCAGACCATACATGAATCTGTTGCATCTACTTCCACAAAAGATGAGCAGTTTCAGTTTAATTTCGATTTATGTAAAATGATGATCCAGTCCAATGTACCTTTAAAAAAATTGGAGAAAATCTCTCTTCAAGAATTCCTTGAAAAACACTGCAATCGACATATTCCGGTTGAAAGTACTCTCCGAAAAAATTATGTTGGCCCAGTGTTTCAGCAAGTTTACAACGAAATTAAACATCGCATTGGAGATAATTATTTAGGGTTCGATGTCGATGAAACAACCGATAGTTGTGGAAGATACGTGGCAAGTTTAATTGTTGGAATCTTAAATGAAAATTTCCCTAGTCGAGGGTATGTAGTAAGTTTGAAAATGTTAGATAAAACAAATGGCAATACGATTACCAGATTTGTAAATGACAGTCTTACGTCACTATTTTTGCCGAATAAAATTCTATTGATGATCTCGGATGCAGCTCGTTATATGTTGAAAGCAGGGAATAATCTAAAAATATTGTACCCCAATTTAATTTACTCTACTTGCATTGGCCACGGTTTAAACAGAGTGGCTGAAGGAATACGTTTGCAGTTTCCTACTGTTAATAAACTAGTGGCAAATGATAAAAAGATTTTTGTTAAAGCCCCACTAAGAGTGCAACATTTTAAGGAAAAATTTCCAAACATACCATTGCCCCATGAACCGATTATAACGAGGTGGGGAACATGGTGACAGGCCACATTTTATTGTGACAAATATATCAAAGAATTTGAGGAAGTAGTTACGGAGTTTAGCGAAGATTCTTCTCAATCGATTAAAGATTGCATAAATATTTTGGAAAACAAAGATTTGCGACAAGATCTAGCTTTTCTAAGAAGCAATTATCAATTCGTATGTGAGGTAATAGAAAAGTTAGAAAAACCCAACATGTTGTTGGTAGATGCCATAAACTTAGTGAAAGAATTTAAACAACAAGCAAACGCAGTAAGGGGTGATATTGGTACTAGAGTATTTCAAAAACTTGACGAGGTGTTAAATAAAAATGCAGGTTTCGGTGTTCTTTCCGACGTTGCTCGTGTTTTACAAGGCCAGAAGGTGGAAAATTTGGAGTTAGATTCAACATTAGTTGGAAAATTAAAATTTGCGCCAACAACGAGTGTGGATGTTGAACGCACATTCTCCAATTTTAAACACATTTTAAATGATCGGCGAAAAAATTTTACACTGGACAACTTGGAACATATTACAATCATAAATTGTTTTAAAGAAAACTGAAATACGTGTGTAAAATATAAAGTCTAGAATTATTGTAATAATATTTTATCCAAAGTTCTAAGAAGTGTTCTTTGATTTGTAATATGATTATGTTTTTAATGCATTTTTGCTTAAAATAAAACTTTTTTATTGAAAATTTTATGCTTATTTAAACGCTTATTATTCTTAATTTTTTTGTGTTTATAAACCCGCTCTCTAGTTATCTAATTGAGTTCTATTTCTCCTTCGTTCCTAGGTCGTATTTTTTTAAGGAAATATGGATAGTAGATATTTTATATAATACTACAGTTGTAAAATTTTGT